CCCCCCCCCTGCTGCTCATCTCGTCACGGGGCGCCCCTCTTTGGGAAGGAGTTCCGGCCAAGAGGGAGAGCTGCTTGACCCGGCCGGCCTCGACGATATGGCGCTGCTTGATTCGGTCGGACTGGGATCGTCTGGGTACTCTGGACAGGAGGTACGAAAGTAGCACTGTTCTTGCTGCCAGCGGCGGAGGATACGCCGGGGTATGTTCTTAAGTATTTTGCTTGCCTGTGAGGCCTGGGACAGCTCGTTGCATCTGCGTACCTCTCGAGACAGGACCAACATTTTGTTCAGAGACATACCCACACTTCCATGGAATCATTGGCAAGGTTTCCATGAAAGTCAAAATTCGGTACTACTTCCGTTGCAGTCAATACTACTTCCAAAGAAGTAAATCTACACACGTTTGTTAAAGATTTAGGAGATCGGAGACATACCTCAACGCTAGACCACATGAGCATTTACGTTGACACGGGGGGGGTATTCCGTGGTACGTTAACTCCTTTCAAAGATACCTTCCTGTCAATCAATGCTCGCAACGTGTTTGTGTAGAAATGTTGCGGCACCTGCTGCATAGGGTAACGACATACGGGGCTTCGATGTGTGTTTCTGAATGGGCTGCGGTCTTGGCCACCTCGTGCGTTTGGGGGACAGGTCAAGGCAATTTTCGGTGGAAATCGTGTTCGATTTTGGGAGCCCGGATGAGAGGGTAGCTTAACTTTGTGAAATAGGAGTCGTCATGGGGGCCAGCTCAGCCCTTGAGAAATGTCTCGGGTGTGGTTGTTTGGGGGGAGGGCCTCGGTATGTTCACGCAGCGCCTGTTTGTCCATGACCCAAGCATGCCTGACGTCGCGTGCTGCAATCTTCGCTACTCCTTGTGCTATTGGGGGAGAGTTGTCGTCGGTGTGTCTTGCTTCGTTGTAACATGGTGTTGCTTGTTTTCTTCTCGTCCTGATACACTTTCAAGCACTTCTCCCTTGCGCTGTCCGCACACCCTCGTTTCCCCCCTCCTTCGCTTTTTCGCTTTTTGTTTTTCAACACTCTAGCCATGGGACGTGCGCAGCAGAGACGCCGTTGCACGCACTCTGCTGACGGTTTGCAGGAGGGGCTACAACGCGCAGGATGTCAAGAAGGTTATCGAGGGAATGTGAGAGCATCTACCCCTTGCCTGCTACGGTTGTTCTCGCCCCTCCTCCGTACCCCTTCATCGCCCCTTCCTCCCTCTCCTGGTGTTTTGTGTTTTTTTCTCGAGGGCACTCCAAGATTTCCTTCAACCGATGGATGACATGTTGTTGCTTGTGGCAACGGGCCGCGGTCTTTGTCTGGTCATTTTGTGGGCCCGTTTCGTCTCCCGTCCTATCTTTCAGTTGCTCTGTTTCTGTTCTACCTTTTCTCTCTCAAGAAGCTCCGCACACATATCAGCAGACCAGAAGAAACCTACACCGGTGCGCTGCTGTCGGGCAGATCGGAGCCATAATGCAACACATACTACAGAAGTAGAGTACGACGCGTAAAAGGGCAGCGCCTCCCAGGCATGAATGATTACTTCCCGACCAAAGAAAAGCGTAACTGCCATTTGCTCGTCGTTGGAGGGGATGGGAGTGCTACTGACGCCACTCGTAGCGGTACGCAGCGAGCCAGCCTCGCTATCTCTCTTAGGAGGGATACGCAATGTCTGTCTTCCCCTACTCTGTTGTTTTACGGTATCTCCTCCTCCCCTGTCCAGATCGAGAGAGGGAAAGCGCACACCACCGTTTGTAAGCAACGGTTCTTGAAGGCATACTTCTTCACAGCATAGCAGTGCTTTGGGCGGTAACACGAGAAGCCCGTCGTGCGGTGGAAACGGTCGGCAAAGCGAGAACAAGCATGCCGGTGTAACTGCGGCTGGCCTGCGCGCGCCCCCAAGTGTGATGTCGATGAATGTTGTTGGTGCCAGATACACAGCACCTCCCGCTTATAAACTATTCCCTGCCTTGCTC